AAGCTTGGGGAAACTCTATGTAGAGTTGTTCCATCAATTCAAGTGAAATAATTCTGTGTTAACTTAAGAAAAATAATTCTCTGTATGTTTCCATGTGATTACATGTTTGACACTTACATTTAGAATTTCAAACAATTGTACTTAAAAAAAATTATTATAATTACAATTACAGCATTTTATAATCGAATATTTTCTATGACATGATGATTTGAGCATAAAAGTTAGAGAAGCATATAATACTTTTGAATGATATGTAAATATATATTATTTAGTTAAAAAAATGCTATTAATAGAATATAGTTAAAAAAGCACATATAATACTTTTATTTCTCATTTTTATATAAAAAGTAAAAAAATAAAGCATTAATGATAACTGTATGTATTTCTAATAATAATCCAAAAATATAAATAAAATTATTTAAGAAAATGTTGTTAATATCAAGTTATTCTTTAAAGTAGACTTGTGTAACATGTAATGTAAAGGCAAAATTTTCAAAGACATCAAATTAAAAAGACCAATCCTAGTAATTGATAAGCCAATTTTTTAAATATATATTTTTTAGAAATCGTGCCACATAGGCCCAATTTTTTTTGTTTTTAAATTTATTTTTAGTTTAACTTCTACTATTAAATGTTTTTTTTTAAATTTTAATGTTTTTAAAAAAATTGCCTTTAAATAATTATATTATGTGACGATCTAAATAAATTAATATTTACTCGCTCGATTCTGACTGGTGAAGACAAGATGAGAGTTGACAAAAATTTTAGTATGTTATGTTACTTTTCAAAAATTATTTATATTAAACTGGCTTTAATACCCTTGTGACTTGATATGTTTCTTTTTAAAATGTCAATCTATCATACGATGTGAAACTTATCTACACATGTTAACACTTTTTTATAACCACAAAGATACTATCCAAAAATCGTTTCTTTTTTCAACCATTTTAACTTTTTCTACTAAGAACAAGAAATTATTTGTCAAACAAAAATCAAAGCTAAACTTAAATGATCTTTTAAAACTCTCAAATCTCTTGAATACTGAAGTAATGAGAATCATATTTGATTAAGGATGTGAACTCTATCTCATCTTGCATAATTCTCTTCAAAACCCTAAGTCAGGTCAAAAAAATTATCATGCAATTTCAATCTACTTACTGGTGGAACAAATCAATTTGTAAATACTTTGACAATATTAGGTCACTCAATCATCGATAATAGCATCAACCTACACTTTTCATGATGTTGTGTCTGTCATCAACTTTCAACTTCCTTTTCTAACATAAGACTTACCAACAATAATCTTCTATTGTTAGGACAAATGATCCCTCTAAAAATTTTTTTTATTATTTTTAACAAATAGTCCATATAAATAGGTGGCTCAGTTAGTCCTTTGAATGCTAGTATCTTCAAAATCTGAATTATTTTTAAATATTGATCTACATGATAGTCGAACTCAAATCTCGACCCACAATAGAAGGTGGTTTTTCAATGGAAGTTATTTTATCAACCACCTAAGAAATCAAATGTGCAATATCAAGCAACACTTGCGATCTAACCTCTCACTTCTATTTAAATTATCTTACCTCTCACTTCTATTTAAATTATCTTCAACTTACATTTCTGCTTTTGAGATTAGCCTAAATGTTTGACGATTCTTTTTTTTTTTCTTCAAGCATAATTACTTATAAATACATAAATGTCCTTATTTAACGAAAATTATTATCTATTAATTATTTCATGCGTAAGTTAATTCTCAACCCAATAGGTTTGAAAACCTGGCTTTGGATCAACTTATAACTCTATAATAATCATATGCACATTCAATACTGTTATTAACTTCATGGCTAAATTTAGTTTATACTTCTAGTATAGATTAAATTATACCTAAATTTGATAAAAATATATATAACGCAACACACCCCCCCCCCCCCTCTACCGCCCATCCCCCAAATGAAATGTAACAAAGACGTACTACAATTCTCGCTAATACCCAATACGTTTGTATTAATCAAGATCAAGTAGAAAATAAGTTTGTCTAGATCTTCATAAAATATAACTACATTTTCATAATTATCTAAATAGATTTATTATAATCATTAATATGAAAATGCTTATAATTTAAATCATCAAAATAGAAAATAGAGCCTTTAAAATTTTCATTAAAAATTTATACAACTCAAAATTGTCTCTAATTTATATAATGAACATCTTTCCTTATATCATATATCCAAAATTAAATAATAAAAATTCTAATATACTGGATAAAATAAGTCACTTAATTATGACCTCATGTAACCCTTTTCTTTTACCTGAAAAATAATCAACATAATATTTAATGAACCAAAAGTAAACTGGAATAAAAAATTTTAAGACGGAATTCAAAATATAAGAAAAAATATTAATAACATGCCCACTAATTTTTAGAACTGATTCAAGCATTATTAATGATAGACATGGCTAATGTAATACATCAATTTTTTAAAAACAAAAGTAATTTGTATAATTACATAAATAAAAGACAATAAAAAATAGTAAGTATATTTGACTGCAAAATAAATAAAGACGTCATTTAGAATTAACATCTAATGCACTAAAATATTAAATTGCTAGTAAGGAACTACATGCTTTCTTTTCATTTTTTTATTTTTTCATTTTTTTTTACTACTCATAATCATAAATTATCTATATAGAATTTATCTCAACTATATCATTAAAATATCACATAGCTTATCAACTAATAAATTATAAATAGACCATTGATTCAAAGTTGAGATGTCACATACCAGCTTTTAAAATAAAGGCCTTTTTAATCCTTATCAAGGCTTATCTCATCAGACCTTTTTCGCTCTACCGCTACCAATTATTATCATTTGACAACCTATCACACATAACATGATCTTCATTCACTTCATCTTTAGTATTATAATTATTCTTTTTAACCGTTTAACTTTACCTATTTTATCAACTTATATTAACCTCCTTCAAGATAGAACATTACATGTAAAAGTCTAGATTTAAATATTTTAATATATAATATTATGAAATAATCTAAAAACATAATTTATATAAATATCATAGCTTTTTTAAAATAAGTGATTATAAAAATACAGTAGCTTTACCAGCAACAGTAGATGCTAATAACACGCTCAATTTGAAAAAATTATATAATATTAGGCCAATTAATTATTTTCTCCCTATATTATAAAATGAATATCTCACCAACATTGTAAGATCTCCTCCACAAATATTTCAGCCTTTCTATTTCCTTGAGATTTTTTCTGTCATAAACAACCTACTAATAGATATCAAAGTCCTCAATATATACAAATTTCTAGATTCACAATTCAAATAAATATTAATAATCTCAAAATAGAATTTTTACCTTGAAAGAACCCCACATTCAAGCTTTAAGCTCATAAACTTTAATTGAACCTAGTTTAATGTAAGACAAAAAATTTATTTTTTTAAATAAATTCTTAGTTTTCCTCCTTTTTCTTGTTCTTTTGTTCTCCTCTACTTCTCATTCTCCTTTATTTATTCTTTCCTTCTTCTTCTTACTCTTCTTTTTCTATTATTATTCTTTTTCTTATTGTTCCCATCTTTTCTTCTTCCATTCTATTTCCTCTGTATTTTTTCTTTTTTTCTTTTTTTTCTCTATTTTCAACCTTACCCAACAACTTATTCTCCTCTTTATTTTTTCTCCTCCAACATAGTTACACGATGATAAGTATTAGGTAAAGATAAATCACATGAGATAAAGATTCTTAGCTTTTAATAATATAATTATTAATTATCCATCAAACCATCTAAGCTGTCTAAATGACCTCCTGAGTATGCCATAGGTGTGTGGGTAAAACCTCAAAAAGCTACAAAAATATTAATGAATAGATGAACAGTTATTTTAGTAAAAATTTAGGGAAATAATTTTAGTAAGAAATAGATGGACAGTGATCTTAGTAAAAATTAGGTAAATAATTTTAGTAAGAAATTGATTAATAATAGATAATATAGATCTTTATTTATATAAATTTCTATGTACCACAATAATCAAAATAAAATGCAGAATTTTATAAATATGCTTTCAAATAATTTAGGAAAAAGCAAAAAATTAGGTATAATTTTTTGAGAAATTTTCTTCTAACCTTTGTGAAATTTTGTGGGTATTAAAACATATTTCTGACTAAAAAATTGCCTCTATTCTGTCTTATTTAGATCAAAGAAAGAAGTCAAATGAGGCGCAACAATCGGACACTAGCTACATCTTTTCAACTATTCATAGAAGAGTTCTTCATACCCTAGGGGAGACAATCGGACACTAGCTACACCTTTTCAACTATTCATAGAAGAGTTCTTCATACCCTAGGGGAGTTGATGCGGGACAATCTAGCATACAGTATCCATATTGTTTGAACTTGTCATACTGTGCATTTCAGCATCAAGCATACTAGAAGTATTTATGTGGTAAAGATGTAATAGATCTATGAATTATAAAAGATTCTTATTTTAATACTAAGATTGCACTTAGATTGCTTGTCACAGATTAATAACCTTATATTTTTTCATCACATGTCACATCCTTTTATGACTAGGGGAAGCTTTTAGGGCTCTACAATCTTATAAATATTAAAAAAAGTGTACTCTCCTAATCTCTCTTATCTCTATCTCTAAATCCACGAATTGTTTCTTCATGCCTTGTAAACATCACTTGGTCAGTAACTAAGAAGTCGAGATTTGTTTTTTCCTCTCTTATCTCTTTTAGTTCGCCCTCTAAATCCAGGAATTAGTTCTTCATGCCTCATACGCATCACTTGTACTGTAACAAAGAGTTCAAGCTTTATTTTTTACTAAATCATGCTTTATAAATCAGAAGACAAAAATATAAGATTCAAAAAACATTATAATCATTCACCAGCAGTTCAACTGTAATTCTTCAACTGATTAACAGCAGAAAGTGTTACCTCAAGTTAACAGAAATTAGGGCAAACAAAAAGTGTTACCTTAACAGAAATGATGGCATGATCAAGAAGGGGAAGCAAATTAGGGTGATTGAAAAGAGAAGAAATACGGATCTCCTCCCTCACCAACTCTAACTGCTCCGGACTTTGGATGAGGACCTTTTTCAAAGTATAAGTGCTGTCATCTGAAGCAACACAAAGTAGATAATAAATTGTCTGTTTTACGATTTGCTATTCCAAGATATTTCATAAATAAATAGTCAAGCATCTAAAGGAATCAATTCAATTAGCAGTACCTTTTGTAACAAGAACAAAATGTCTGATAAAAAAAGCAAATTAACAAATGACAAAAAAGAAAAAGAAGCCATAATAAGTCTAGTAGGTGCCACATCATTCTTAAATTTTATTTAACCGACTATTTTGGTAGATTTTTTGACACTCTGATAATTAGGATTACGGTAAATTTAAAAGATAAAGAAAGAATCTCCCCCTCCCTTATAGTGATTTTTTAGAAGATTGTATTAATAAAATCCATTAAACATTTCATTATTTAAATAGAAGTTACACAACATAACAAACAATAGTGAATGATGTTATAGTTCTGTTGTTGAATCTAAGAAAATATAACAACAATGCAACGACGACAACAAGAAGCATTTGTCCCGCTAAGTGGGGTTGGCTCCATGAATCCTTTTTCTCCATTGCATCCTATTGAATGTCATATTTTCATTTAATTCCAATAGATTAAGATAATTTTTTTATAGATAATGCCCAAGTCTTTTTAGGTCTACCTCTACCTTTCTTAACATAAGTCAAATCTAAAACATCTACTCTCCTAACCAGATCATCAAATGGTAGACGTTTGATGTGACTAAACCATCTAAGATGACTCTCTCTAACCTTGTCCGCTCTACACCAAACCTATCACGGATATACTCATTCCACATTTTGTCTCTAAGTGTCATACCACTCATCCACCTAAGCATTCTCATCTCAGCAACACTTAATGTCACAGAGCATTGCAGGTCTCATCACCATCTTATAAAATTTTACTTTCAGTCTAAGCAGTACTTTTCTATCACACAATAGGCCTGATGCATTTCTCCACTTCAACCAGAAAACTTGAATTCTACTAATAACATCCCAATCTCTATCACCATCACTTTGAACAATAGTCTTGAAATATCTAAAACGTTCACACCTTTTAATGATTTAATCACCCATAGTTACAACTCTGTCACTAGAGCTACTACTATTAAAATTACATTATATATATTCAGTTTTAGATCTACTCAAACGAAGACCTTTAAACTCCAATATAGACCTCCATAATTCAAATTTTTCCTAAACTCTTTCTTTAGTCTTATCCACAAGAAGGATATCAAAAGTGAAAAGCATACAATAAGGTACATCCTCCTGTAAATGTCTAGTAAAAGCATCCATAACTAAAGCAAAAAGATATGGGCTTAAAGCTAATCCCTCTTGTAATCCAACTTAAATAGAAAAATAATTGGTCAATTCTCCTTCTATTCAAACACATGTAACAGCTCTAGTATACATATCTTTAATGACTTGAATAAGTCATTTCAAGACATTTCTTCTCTAGAACTCTCCAAAGGACTTCTCTTCGAACATTATGGTAAGTTTTTTTCCTAATATAAATTAAATCATATGTAGATTCTTCTTATTCTCCCTATACTTCTCCATCAAACCTCTCAATAAATGTATAGCTTCCATAATAGACCTATTTGGCATAAATTCAAATTGATTATGAGAAATATTTGCATCACGTCTTAACCTATGTTCAATCACGTCTTAACATAAGTTCAATTACACTCTCCCATAATTTTAAAGTGTGAGACATTAACATAATTCTACTATAATTTGCACAGTCTTGTGCACCCACTTTATTCTTAAAAATTTGGGACCAAAATAATCTTCCTCCACTCCTCAGGCGCCTTTTTAGTTCTTAAAATAATTATTGAAGAGTTTAGCAAGTCAAGAAACTCTCAAATCTCCTAAATATTTCCACACTTCAATTGGGATATCATTAGGTCCTACTGATTTTCCACCATTGGTTTTCTTTAAAGCCTCCTCAACTTCTCTTTTACTAATGCACAGGTAAAAATAATATGTTTTATTATTATTAGCAAAATTAAAATCACTAAGATTGATCGTATTTTCAGAAACTTCATTGAAAAGTTTATCAAAATAGCTCACTCACCCATGTTCAATGTCTTACTCTAAGAAAAACATTTTTTGACTTTCATTTTTAATACATTTTACTTGAATTATATCTTTACTTTTATTTTCTCTTTCCCTGGCTAATTTATACATATATTTTCCATCCTCTTTAATATCTAAACTATAATAAAATCACTAAAAGCAGAAAATTGTTCTCTTAGACTACCTACGAGTCACCTTATATTTTTCTCAATTCTCTAGGCTTTAATGTTTAAACCAATTTTTTTAACACTTCTTATATTTTATCTTTTTTTGCACATTATTATTCCATCACCAACTACTTTATAAAAAATTTTCCTTTTGATTCTTCAAGTATAACTTTTGTCACTTATTTCATAGTATTTGTTACTTGATCCCACATAGAATTCGCTTCTTCATGAACATCACAAATCATGAAATCTAGAATTTTAATCACAAAAATAATTTTATTTGTCTTTTAGATGCCCCATCTAATTCTATAAAAAAATTTCCTTATATTTTGATCTTACAACTATTCATCTTAAAAACCATAATTAATAATCAAAGTTGAGTACTTAACATTTTACTTGAAATGACATTACAATCTTTATATTCTCGACGATCAATTTTTCTCATTAGAAAAAAATCAATTTATGTTTTATTAGATTCATTCTTATAATTAAAAATAAGCTCATCTCTTTTCTTAAATAAAATAGTAGCAATAACATTAATCACTCCAAAATCGTGGCTATTATGAATATTTCTAAAATCTTCTATCACTCTACCAATATACCAATTTAAATCTCCTCTAATAAAAATTATTGCTTCAAGATGTATCATTTGTATTAATTCTTTTAGAACATTCCAAAATTTTTCTTTTAAACATATTTCTAAATTTATTTGAGGAGCACAAGCACTTATAATATTAAAAATCTTAGTATCAATAACAATATTTAGGGCTATAATTTTATCTTCAATTCTATTAATTTTTACATCATTATCTTTCAAATTCTTATCTATATTTACACCTACACCATTCTAGTGCGACTCCCACCTGAATACCAAAGTTTGAAACCCAAGCTATCAATCTCCTTAGTCTTTTCTCCAACCTATTTAATTTCTTAAATACATGAGATAATTATCTTCCTATAAACTAAAATATCAAGTAATTTCGTTAATTTACCTATGAGAGTACTCATATTTGAGGAGCATATTCTAATATTATTTTCATGGACTAACTTTTTTACCTGCATCCATCCGTAATGTGAGAACCTTTGCTTATTTGACACTACATGTGTAGCGGCCCTTGTATATTTTTCATTGTATCCACGCCATACAGTGCGTTATTTCGGAGAGATGCCGTAGCATTTATACAAAAATTTAAAGGATTCGTATTATGATTTTTTCGAAAAAATTTTACATTGGTTGTCGATAACCCTCCACTTTTTTCATCCAGGACTTGGGAGCCGATAATGGAGTTAGTTGATATGCACCAAATACATCAACGTGAAATGAAAAAAATAATATGGCTTCAACAATGGAAGAAATATGAAAGTTTAGGTGTGAGATGTAAATACATAAGAATTGTGTTATGTATGTAAATGCCCCATAAAAGGAGAAAGTGTGTGTGTCTGTGTGTGTGTGTGTATGTGTCTGTGTGTGGTGTTTTAAACCTATACATAAAATATTGCATTTCACTTTTAAAAAGTGAAAATAGTGCTATTTTTAATTTGATATTAAAGATGTGAGTCTTACGTGTGCAAGTATGAAAGTTTAGGTATGAGATATGTAAATACATAAGACTTGTATGTCATGTATGTAAATGCCCCAAGAGAAAATGGTAGAGAGTAGATGCCAAAGAACAGGTTATTCCTGAATGCATTTTTCTCAAAATTTAATGATTTAGAAAAAAACATATGAATGTGATTCATTATAGGAACTGATCAAACAATGAATGTGATGCAACCAGATCCTAATGGTTATGTCTTAATGAATTTCCGTTCGCATGCTCTATACACTACCTTTCCTTCCCCTTTCCTCCTTTGCCCCCACATGAACTGTCATCAAACATCCAATGTACACATCGCAGGGATGATCTCCCTGGAGTCAATAATGAGATCAAAGTCGAATAAAAGGTTGAAGATGAATCTTGTCTTCATGTGCTCTGCTATCACCTATTCCCATTCATTAGAGCCTCTCATTGAATTCTCTCCATATTTCCCTCATTCTGCTCCTCTCTCTTCCAAAGCCATTGTTGGCTTCAATTGGATTCAGAGGGTAAACATCACTGAGAAGATACTGATGGTTAAAATCCTATCTCATGGATGCATTCAACACTCTTTTAAGGGACAATCATGCAACAATCACATCTTTTAGTTCAATTATGCCATTGATAGCTCGCCTTCCCACATTTTGATGACCTTATAGAGATCGACTTTGGCAATCACTCCCACAAATGAAAATTCTATTACTCTATGAACCTCTAGGTTCTCTACCACTTTCACATCCACAAGAATGTCTTTGATGTAAACCTTCCCAACAGCATTTCTTCGACTGACTCCCTCGCCTTCCAAAGTTTTGTAAAAATGACTAATTTTGTAATAGAATTTAAGTTTGTTTGTTGTGGACTCTATAATGAATTTTTCACACATCATCACTATCATAAATGACTTCGTTCGTTCAAAACTCTCTCTCTCTCTCTCTTCTTCCCATCCTCCATTTCCTATACTCCTTCAAAGTGTTAAAATTTTTCTTTACATACCTAAAATGAATTTGAAACTGCTTCAATGCAATGAGATTCATTGAAAGAAGTGATGAAAGTGAAAAAGGGCATTAAAAGATCAAGTAGTAGTGATAAAATAAAAATAAAACCTCTTTTTTTTTTCTAATTTATAGTATGAAACTATTAAAGAAGTGAAATATGATCTAGCTACTTTAGCAATGAGATTCATACTACTAGCCAATGGCAAAGAGAAAAACTCAATGGTCTTCCCGTTCATATTCTATAATGAGGAGAAGGTCTCTACATCTTCCATGAGATGGGATGCACGTGAAGTTATATCCAGAAACAAGTGGTTCATCAAGTGGTTGACATTCTAATACATGATGAAGAGGTGGCCTCCCATTCAAGTGATAACAAACTACTTTGGCCTAAGCAATGATAGCATAAGCAATGTGAAATGGTTGAAGTAATCCTTGATCAATAGTAGGTCTTAGCTATTATTTAAGAAACACCAATTGTTATTCACAATCAACAATATGCTACTGTTACAATGACCATTTTTCAATCACATAAGTTGGTTTCATGTTAAAGTTAGAGTGCCATTTGATTTTATGTTTAAAGAGGATTTTAAACTTTATGATATTGCTTTTGCTGAAAATCCCATTTTAATTTATTTAATAGATTTTGATGTTAATAAAGATTTTGGTAAAAATTAAACTTTGGTCATCTTTTCCTGAAGGATTTAATAAGCTATGAAGAGGAGAATAGAAAACTCTACATGATTCATTCAAAGTAGCATTCCATACAAACTAAATTTAATTTTTAAATTAATGTGAATGCTTCAGATTTTCATTATATTAACTCTATAAACTTTAAATTCTTAATGTTGAATGTTTATTGAAAATATTTATTAAACTCTGTAGAAAATGATACACATTTGAAAATTAATATGAAATAATTATATGGAGTCAAAAAACAAAAATATTTAATACCCTTAATGTTTTTCCTTAATTCCATATAGAAGTTACACAAATCGGAAAATGGAACTAAAGCAAATATCTGATGTTGTCAGCCTATAATTTGTAATATCCTTGATGTGTGTGAAGCTTAATTTTCATGACATCAAATATGAAGGTATGTGGCTGTATGAATTTATGACTCGATAAACTCATTTAGTTGGATCAATTCCATGTCGTCTTCCATGTAATCATTTACAAATAATCTTGTAAAGATAAAACTAGAGAGGTCATAAAAGTGTGAACGTTTTAGATATCTCAGGAAAAATTTGATTTATAGAGGTCTAAATTGGAGTCTAAAGGCCATCGTTTGAGTAGAGCTAAAACTGAATACATGGAATGTAATTTTAGTAGCAGTAGCTATAGTGACAAAGTTATAACTATGGGTGATCAAATTATTAAAAGGTGTGAAAGCTTCAGATATCTCGGCTATTGTTCAAAGTGATGGTGATATAGATGGGGATGTTATTAGTAGAATTCAAGTTGGTTGGTTGAAGTGGAGGAATGCTTCGGGCTTAGAAAAGTACCACTTAGACAGAAAGAAAAATTTTATAAGATGGTAGTTAGACTTGTTACGCTCTATGACGTTGAATGTTGGCCTTTAAAAGAGAAGCATAAAACTAAGTTAAGTGTTGTCGAGATGAGAAGGCTTAGGTGGATGAGTGGCTTTACACTTAGAAACAAAATGCTAAATGAATATATCCATAATAGGGTTGGTGTAGCTTCAGTGGTGGACAAAATTAGATAGAGTCGTCTTAGATGGTTTGATCACATTAAACGTTGGCCATCTGATGATCTGATTAGGAGAGTAGATGTTTAAGATTCAACTTATGTCAAGAAAGGCAAAGGTAGACCTAGAAAGACCCACTTAGTGGGATAAAGGTTTGTTGTTGTCATTGTTGTTGTATGGATATTCTATAAGAATCCCCGCAAAGAATGATTATACATGATAAGGAATATAAAGATGTTGTCAACATCATGAATATTTATATTAACTGATTAATGTCATCTTTGAATATAATAAATTAAATTCCAATAATAATAATATTTTAAATTTTATTTTGCATTATAGTGTTTAAAAAAATTTGTCTACGCACATAGTGCAGGTTGCATAGTAGTTATAAGAGATCCTCAAGAGTCCCCATTAGATTCAACCTTTCTAAAAGCAGGGAAAATAGTGGTGGTGATGAACAAAGTCAATACGATAATAGAAACACACAAGCTCCAATCAGTTAAAACCAACATTAAGCAGATACTAATGAGTTTCATCAATCATCACTATCAGATGCCAATGTAACAAAAGCCATCTTCATCTCCACAACTATTCTTGCAAATCCTAAGTTCGAATTCATTCCAATTATCAGTGAGATTTTCACCTCATAAGAAGAACATTTTCACTTTAGAGACACATGTGCAATGCATTAACCAAGGGAAACAAGCAAGCAAAATAAATTGATTACAACAACTGCAACAACAATAAACTAGATTCCTAACCAGAAAGACCTATGTTGGCCAATGTTATTTATATCTAAAAGCCGAACTGGACCAAAAAAACCGACAACCATAAAACAGAACAAAAATGCTTCAAGACCAAGAATTTGGATCAGAACTCAAAATGATAAGAGCAGGGAACCTGAAATATGGGAAGGATCGATGGTTTTGTTGGAGGCAAGGCCGCCTGATGACGCAGAGTCGTGGGCGACGAGCTCCTTGACGAGGAAGACGGAGGCAAAGCCACCTTCGCCAAGCTGACTCAAGATCCTGAACCGGTTCTCGTTGATCCATACGTCGCCAGCTCCATTAGGAGCGTCGTATAAGGCGTTGAGACCGGAGAAGGAGCAGCCCATCTTCCCGTCTTCTTCTACTCCTGTATGGTTATCTTTCAACAAAGAGCGAAAAGATGAATTAGGAATGGCAATGCGGGTTTGGCCTAGAGTTGGAAGGGAAGAACAGATACCTACGCTCTTCTCATTGACCTCGCTGCTTCACCTCCTCCTTCGATCGCTCGGCTTGCTTTCCTGCGCGCTAGTTCTTGTTGCGAATAGATCTGTCCTGGAAAGAAGCGAAGCCTCTTTGTACTAGATGTTTATACTTTACACAATGCCATAATGAAAGGAGAAATTAGCCAATCTATCATATTCTAGTACATTATTATATACACAACTATATTTTCGACAATGATAGACTATTTGCAACCACAGATGCCGTATGTTATCATTTCTCCAAGGATAAATATGTATATAAATATAATCTTATAGTTTTTTTATTAATGTATTTGATATTACTTTTTTGGGAAATTTACATTGGATAGCACACATTTCTTTAATATTTACATTTCTCGTGCAAAAACTTTCATATTTACATAGATAGCGATTTAGTTCTTTAAACCTATAAATTAAAAGATATATTTCGTATTTTGAAGAGTGGTAATAGTGTTATTTTCTGTGTGATATGAAAGATCTGAGTGCTATGTTTATAAATGTGAAAATTTGTGTGTGAGATATGTGGATACATAAAAATTGTGTGCTATGTAAATGTCCCTATTTTTTTTTATTCACTTGTGCGGTACTTAAATTTCTATAAAATATAGATATATCGATCACTCTCCTTGCCCACAGTAAATTCTTAGTGAACCTCTTAGGCATAAGAACTCTCTCAGACTCTCTTCTCACATGAACCTTCAAAAACTCTTTCGTGAAATGTGTGTTTTCATAAGCTCGCTTCTCCCACAGAAAACCTCCTTTGAACCTCTTCGATTTTGTCTCCCCCATCATTGAATTTGTCACCTCAGCATAAATTATTCACTAAAATTCTTCGTTTATGAGATCTTTCCATATTGTCATTAAACTTTAATTTTATTATACATAAGACAAACAACATGTATTTGTAGTACAAACTTAACATCGAAATGAATAAAATAATAATGAGAATATGAGATAATTAGAGAACTCTGAGCTTGCCCAAAACTCCAAAAAAAATTATGAAAAAATTAGGGCAATTTGAGTGGTGCTTGCATCCCTAAGAATTTAATAAGGGAAAGGAGATAGAAGCGTCATTAACTCTTTTTATCATTGTTTACCCTCATGCTCAAGCATTAAGGGTATATATAGACTCATAAGTACTATTTATAATGGAGTTGAGATTCTGAATGAATGATGATTAATGTGAGAAGATGAAAGGCAAAGGCACGAACTAAACGTCCATAATTGGATAAAAACTATTGCTGAAACAAATCTACTTAACTTAGCAAGCGGTTGATAAATATGAATGTATATGGTGGAACTGTGGATGTTGGCGACAACAGGACATCTAGTAATGGCAAGGCACAATAAGAACGCCATTAATACAAACCTAATGGGTAAATACCAAAGATAATGGAGAGAAAATATGATAATTGGGCAACTTAGAGCTTGCCCAATACTTCAAAAGTAGATTAGGTAAGAAAAAAGGTAATTTGGGGGTACTTATAAATATTAAAATTCATAGGATTGTATAAAAAATCCAATTAATGCATTATATTGGGATCCTTTAGCATTAAATAAGTATCGGTATATGGAGTTATGGAAACTCCATAAACACACTTTTTTCTTCCATTTTTTTTTTTCTAAAATGAGATGGATTTCATGAACCAGATTATGACCGATATAAATATTAAAATCATAGGAAAATAAACATCACAAAATTCAAAAAATCACAAAATAATGAATTACACTAGGAAATACACCAATGTTTGAATCATCAAATGAAAATCGTATGTTCGGAATATGATAAGCATTATTAAGAAACGAAGAAGACTGTTAACCTCACTTCTGTGACAGTCCACCCACTCACTTCTACATAGCCCCCCGACTAGGGTTTTGCTCCCTTGGGCCTCATCTTGACAAGCCCAAACCCTCAACCCTTTGGTTGAGTAGGTTTTGGGTTTTGCCCTGGTAATAGACCCAAGCCACCTCCCCCCCATGGAAAAGGCTTACCTTGGGTTCCAAAACCCTATAAACCTCCTTATGGACCCTAGGGATCACCATGACATTAAAATTCACAGTGGGAGAGGGGTCTACCTAAATTGATCCTTAGCATCACCTAAAGCCTCCCCAAACCCTAATGAACCCTAAAAATCACCTTGAAATTCCAACATACTCACCTGACCATAAGGCTTGATGGCATCATGGGAGGTCAAATCAAATTGGGCCTAACCCAATTTTGGTCATTTTTTTATCAATTGACCCATGGCCATACAATTGGGCCTCACTCAAAGTGGTCAAGACATCGAACCACTTCAGGACCAAAATTGGCACCATGGGGACAACTCCTATAATTCACCTAATTATTTAATTAGGTAAATTATGAGATGCCAATAGGGCTCGGTCCTTTGGACTAAACCCAATAACATTAGATTAACCGGAAATCAAAGCCCATGGCCCATCTCCCATGGCTCATCCTCCATGGGTTGCTGATCTCGACTTTCTATATAGATGTAAAATGTGATATATGTGATTATATGCTTAATTTCCTTAATATTGATTCCTATTTTGCAACAAAGCCAAAAACTTGATTCAAAGCAAAATCTAGGTAAATTTTACATGATGCAGCAAAGAAGAATACAATTTTAATATTTAAATATGGGATGCTACGCAAGTATACGTACATTATCAAGTAATATATAACTTGTTGATTAAGCCCTGAATGTCGAACCCACGGGGAAAACTGGCAATATGCACTTTATAAAATAGGAGAAATTAGATAACAAAGTTTTAATTAGCAAAATATTCTTGCCTAAACTTAAGATGCTATAATAGGAATGAAAATTTGATTCTTTTTGTAATTTTTGATAATTAAAAATAAAATAAGCAACTAATTAACTTAACTAAATATTTAACTTAACTAAAATTAACTTAACTAAATATTTACAAGATGAATGCAATATAAGTAAAATATATTTTTCCTTATCATGAATCAGTAACAAATATAGAAATTCAGTTGTGAAAATAATCTTAAATGTGTTATACCAAATAGGAGCAATAATACTATTTACCCTTACTAGAAATGCTATAAAGAACATTGGCTAATCTATAGTTTGAATAGTCTTGAAGACCGGTTAGACATGGAAGATACTAGCTCTCACTCTAGAGTTCCCTCTTCTCCCTCCACCTATGGGCTAATATCTCGCATCAAAACCTAAAATTATAAATCAAATTGGGGGCTTTAGCCTGTTACTCTAAAGTATTGTAATTCTAAACCCATGAAAGTTTATTTTCCTATTTATTTGCACTCAACCCCATGAACTATATTCTCATACATGAAATCAATATGTGATTCTTACCATTTATTGACTGAGACAATACCATCTCAAAACTTACATGTTCTCACAACAAATATTAATATCTTAATTGGTCAAATCAAGAAGTAAATGAAGTATAAGGTTTCAAGTCAACACAACTTCTTCCAACATTAAAGTCTAATACTTTACACAATTTTCTTTCAACACTTAATCACTTATCATTTTAAGGAAAAAGATAAAGAAAACTACTCATACTCCACAGAGAAAATGCAACCACATGAGTTTAAAAGTAGAAATCATGCACATAAACAAGAAATCTAAAGTAAAACCAAATGTAGTAAAAAAGTAAAACCAAAAAAGTAAAACCAAATGTAGTAAAAAAAGATAAACACTTATCTTAAATTCTCTCCACCAAATGTCTTGAAGTTCTTTTGAATTCTATTCCTTCACTCAAAATAAAAACTAAAACTTAAAATAAAATAGAAGTGGTCGGCGGCGGCGGTGGCGTTGGGCGGCGACGTCGAAGGCGGTTGCTTGGATGGATGATGGTTGTTGGTTGGGATTGGCTCGCTCTCCCCTTTGTTGATCCAAGTCTTTTTTTATAAAAATCCAAAAGGTGCATTGGTGTCTTTTCAAAATGTGTCTCCAGTCAATGAATCTTCTAGAAATTTCCTCCTCTCAAAAGACAATTGAATGAATTTTGTGTTCATTGGCTATTTCCCACGTTTTTACTAATGGTTGCTTCAAACACCTTTTCAAAAATTTATCTAAATTTAATGAATTATCAAATAAGCGCGGGGAACCTGGCGCTAAGACGTGGCTCTTTCTATATAACTGACACGTAAGCGCCAGTCATGGGCGCTTAGAAATCTCAATTCATTTTTGCACCTTCTTCATTTTTGCTTCAAAGTTGACCCTTTTTTCACTTCTTTTACTATTTTGCATCCATTTGATTGTGCCTGAAAGAAAAACACACAAATATCTTTCATCAAATCACAATATCTCAAAAATAGGTATAAAAATATGTATAAAAAATCTATATATTATAGGTGTATCAGTTGCCCATAAGCTAACCTTGACACATCATGGCACATGGGTGACACAAAGAACAATTTAAAATAATTTGACCTGAGTTCAAGTAATAAATGACAAACCAAGCATTCTTTTCCATGAAAAGAGACACATGGCACCTTGGTCATGGCTTATTTGACCAACACATGGGGAGCTAAACCAGCTTTTAGGGAGCCAAGACAAGACCAAATTTGGTCTTTGCTACCCACTAAAAGGTATCCCTAATCGAGCTAAGCGCCCTCCCATGCCTCCTCCACTTCCATTTGCAACCCCATTACCAAGACATGGAGAATTGCAAAAGTTCATCCTCCACAGTCAAAAGCTTCTGACTTCCCTCTAGAAATTCTCTGAGGACTGCCTAAACTTCCCCATGCCCGACCAAGCTCTACCCGAAGCTCCCATGACTATAAATAACTCATGCCCGAGAGCTTCCAAACACAACCAAACTCCCGACAAAGCCACCTAGCCCTCTTGGTCCCAACAACAAAAGTGCTCCCATGGATCTAGGCAATTGATCTCTACCATCTTCAACCCTTAATCTCCACTAGGAAACCCTAATTTCACCACCCAAATCCAGGGCAATTTTTAGCCCCGACATCAACTTATTCAAAACTCAAATCCAACCCTCCCAAACCAAGCCTTAATACACTCTTCCCAATCAAAATTGAGCCTTCCTGCGACCTCTAACCCATCCCAACACCAAATTGTGGCACCATTTGGTTAAGCTCATAGCTAGAGCCAAATTCAGCTTAAATTGAGGCAAGGAG